CTGTTAAGAAAATCGGTGTATCACAAGAGGTTGTGTGAACCTCATATCAATTGGCATAATATGTAATATTCTGTCTACACCACTGAGGAGAAACCTACAACCTACAGTGTCTCCAGTCAGGCTGGATCTGACCCCCACCACCACCAACCCTGTGTAGCTCCTAATCATCCAAGAGGACTCTATTACAAGGGCCTGGCAGCTCATCTAACCTCACCGAGGAGAAGGGGGGTTGGCAGAGAGACTGGGACCTCTGCTCCTCTTTCTCTCCACATGGTTGAGCACCACACACAACATGAGCGCATACACACAGGTTGCCTCGGTGTGCAGCAGGGCCGCTGTGACCGTGTGCTACATCAGATAGCAGATAGAGCTGCTGACCTTACGTCTGTCTGCAGGAGAGAAACTGATAAAGAAGACTGTAGAAACAGCGGCTCACATGCAGCACCGACTGCCCCACCCCACTGTTTGTGTGTTATATGGTAATGTCTTCTTCACAGGGCCCGTCTCTGGGGTTAACCGCTGAGGAGTAGCAGAGAGCTCCTGGTCGCAGCAGGCGAGGCTCAGCTGAGGAGGCACTAGCAGTCCCACTACTCCTGACTGAACAGCCACTCCGCTTATACAGCCCTGACTGCTGGTGCCTGGTCAAAAGTTCAGCCTGTGCATATGTAAAAAGGTGGCCTGGTGCCCGAGGCAGGATCCTGGGTAAAATAATCATGCTGAAACACTAAGAAGCATGGGACGAGGCAAGAGCGCTGATGAAACTGGCCCCCGGGGTGACTGAAGTGTCTGATTGGACCAGGGGAGTCTCTTAGGCCTGTGCCCATAACACCCCCCCTCCCCTCTTTCTAACCATTATAGTGGATGATGAGGTGCTGGAGCCACTGCCCACACTGATCTCCATGCAGCTCAGTGCTGTCTGTGCCTATAGTTAAGGTATAGATTTGATGAGTATAGGCTCAGCCCAGCTGCTCAGAGCCTGAGGGTACGCTGATCTTGAGGGAGCTATCAGTCAGTCAACAAAATGTCACAGGGTCAGCGTTACACCATGACAAGACAGTGATAACTTCACAAAGGTTACAGCCCAACTAATAACTGCAACAGTTAATGAAATTCATAGTATGCTTCATAAAAGTGTGTCCAGCCTGAGTTTTGGTTCAAATAACTTTTCCTGATTATACATGATCTTTAAAGGCCTGAAAACCGATCACACATCAAATGAATCAATCAAAATCTGCGTCAATCAAATTCTGAGCATTAAATCGCTGCAACTAAATTGCAGAACTAAGATAACAACTGTCTTTTGCCTTTCTCGCTCTCTCTTAGCTCTTCTCGCACGCACACACACTCGCACACCACTGCAGGCCAGATCATTCAACGCTGATAATCACACCAAGGGACACAGGGAAAACTCCCACTCTAAACACGCTGAATTAAAGAAACAGGAGTTACAGGCCTGGTCGCACCATCTCTGATAAGCAGATCAAGGCACGGGGAGGGGAACATGATGTTAGTGAGAGATAGTTTGGCTGATTAAAATGTCATGGCTCTTTATAGATGCCTTTCTCAACTCAGCAAAAATGGAATCAGCACTCTACATCAATAGCAGAGTGGGCTGTTCACCCCACTAATAGAGAAGTTTCTTTCCCTTAAGTAGAATCCACAACACAAAGAATGCAAAATATAGGACGTCAAAATATATTTTTGTAATTTGAGAACAAAATACAGTTTTAAAAGATAAAAGTGGAGTGAAAAAGTCAAGCGCTGATAAAATAACAGAACACGAAGCACAATTAATCAGGAAAGGATGACCAAGAACCAAGTGCATGGCCTGACATGACATTTCCTTTACTACCACAGTCAAATTAATGATTTAGGACCACATGTAGCTTAAGGTTGTTCAAGTAATCCCCATGTTGTGAATCCAAGAGTGTGCTTGTCTGGGTGAGTGTGTGCGTGTGTATGTGTGTGTATGTGCTTGTTTGTGTGTTTACTCGTGGAGGGCAAGTCTATATCACTCCACCTGTGCTCCTATAAATCAAACCTGTGTTTTAAATGAGAGGATGGTTATTTGCGCAAGAACACACACGGGGGCCATGTGATTGTTTTTTGGAGCCAACATTCTGCTTATGTTTGCATCCCAGAACAATCTCCATGGATCCCGCAAGCGTACGCAAGCAATTAAAGCGATACCATCTTCATATCCCTGCAACCAATAACTGAAATAATATCACTGTTTTATTAAGCCCTTAATGTGGGGGCAGAAGGAGTGAGGAGTGGGATTTTAAAGAGGATACACTTTTAGGGGCCTTATCAACCCCAGATTTAAATAAGAGCAAATGCTCAGCTTAAGGGTGTGCCTGTGTATCTGTGTGTGTGTGTGTCTGTGTGTGTGTAAGGCTGCGTGTCTGCGTGTGGCCTTTTATCAGACAAGAGTTTTAGCTAATCGCTGTGTCAGCAGACCAGAATTTAATTACTAACTCTACCTTTGTCCTTTAATATTTACTAACATCTACACTACATTTAATTAACCACGTGAAGAAAAGCCGTTGCCCCATTCTGGAAGAGGAACCGCTCTGCTAATTGCGTCTGTGCGCTCACAACCAAAACGGTAACACCCTTTCCTCAGACGCACACACAAGGAACACACAAGCCTCATCCACTCCAGGGTACACTTTTGAATTTTTTGATTAAAGAAAGTAAGTTTAACAAATTTCGATTCGAACAGAAATGGAGACAAACCAGATTTGAGGATGGAAACAAGACAGCAAGTGATGGAGTAAGAAAAATGTTAAAAGAACATAAAGAGGAAAGAAAAAGTGTTTTGGGACAGAGATAGTCAAATTGAGCAAAATGTTCAGCTTGGCATTTTGTGAAAGGTGCTGAGGAGCGGTTCCTCCCATCTCTCATCTGATGTCAGAAGCAAGAGAGACAAATGATGGCCTGAGGCTTTGTGTCTGTCAAACGTGATGGATCAGAATAACGGTTCATTTAAACTCCACCACGCTGCCTTTCAACATTTCAGTGCAAACACTTAATTGATAAACGATGATGAGCAGCTAATGGAAAGATTTATTAGTCAAACTATGGCATATATTAAGAGCTATGTGAAGCCTAAAGGGTTGAGCTTTTCATTGAAAGCAGAACTTGAGGAGAGCAGAGGACACAGATGAAGACACAATCCCCTCAAAAACATCTGGACCAATGAGAACAATTCCTTTGAATTGAGTTGTAAACAACAACAAAAATCACAACTTCACATTTTATTGCCTCTGAATTTAAGGGCACTGTTGGGCCATGGCAGAGGTGTCTGCTCTACTGAGTGCCATTGAAATTTTCAAAATGCGCAAAAAAAAAAAAACTGAGGACAAGGCAACTTTCATTTGAACCCACCTTTTTTCAAGTGAGCAGAATATTTTGAACGTGTGACTGACGAGTTTTGTATTGTTTCCCAGTCTAGATTGATCAAACAGAAATTAGCCAGTGTGAAGACCAGAGAGCTCTCTAAGAAAAGCAAGGCACTCTTTTCACAAGGCTGAGAAAACAGGCAAAAACACTTTTGAGGCATAATACAACATTTTGAGCAGGTCAGCCAAGGATAACAACAGCAGTTTTTTCCAGTATTTAAACATTGGAACAGATGATGGTGATGATAATGACGCATGCAAGACAATCAATCACAATAACAGCTCTAACAAAAACCTCTGAAACCAAGTCCAAGATACAAACCTCAAAAATACTGTATCATGATTGGGACGATGGAATTGCGATAAACCAAACCCAACCTGCTGCCACCACTGCAGGTACAGCCTGTTGAGCTCTCATTACACATTACACCAATTTTACTGTCTTCAAACTGCTTGTGCCAGGTAATTAGCTTGAGATGGATAATAACCCTCTGATTCAAAGTTCTCTTTATTTTACAACAAATTGATTTACAGCCAGGTTTCACATCCAACAAATACAACGTTGACTGTGACAACAACACACTATAAACACTGAAAAAAACTAATACAGGGAATGGAAAGTAGAAAAGTGCTAGTATGATAAACTACTAGGAAAAGAAAATTGAGGTAGTGCAAGGACATTGAAAATGAATCTCCCAAGACCCTGACCTGAAACCAGTATGCCAAAGGAGACCCTATGGATCTGTTGGTCAGTTTATCAACACAATCCACAGCCATCATGACCAAGTCTGATTTGTTGCATCAAAATTCAACTTGTAAACAGAAAATAGCCACAAGTCCCTGCAGTGCAGCACCTGGTCTTCAATCTCTACTTCAGGACATAATGTCTTAACTGTATATGTGCTCTCAGACAGGTCCTTGAAAAACAAGGTTGAGTCAGCCTGCCAATATGACTCTGAACTTAAGATAATGCATCAGAAAATATCTGGTAATACGTTCTCCTGATGAGAATGGGCAATATGGTAAAAACATATTTGACAGAGAACTCATTACTTCAGTGCTCCAGAGTACATGACTGCACAGGATAAGAGACCCGAGTTTGCGCAGTGCATTTACAGTAACCTAATAGTCGCAGTACACAGGATCTGGAATATCGCCTACCCTGGTGAAAGGATAGGAGGAATGTGCTCTCAGAGTTAAATAAACAGTGACAGGAGGAAGAGGAAAACAAACCACAGAATATCTCTCTATCTGTGAAACCCAGACTCTCTCCATGAGCCCTCAGCACTCAGCAGATCAACCCCTCTCCATCCTTTTTCCCCTCCGCTCTCCCAGGAGCGTGCCAAGACAAATATATAGGCAGAGTAAGGGACACAGAGTCAGAAAAAAGAGGATCGTAATATAGTGTGGTGAATTCACTGCTTACCATTGAGAAAAATGTAATCAGCTACAGAGCTACTCAAGTGAAATGAAAAGTTAACACACCAATCCACTGCGGTGGTTAACATCTACTGTATGGGCAGTATAACGTGTTCCTCGGTCAGGTCAGGCTGCAGGTTGTGCAGTCACAAAGTTATATAAAACTTCATCACTTACCATAGACTTGGTGAAAGGTCTGGCCAGCGTAAAGAGAAAGGTCATCAGCCACCAGCTCTGGTGGATTGAGGTGTACATCAGGTTCCCAGGATGCAATGCGTTGGAGGTGACGCCATGAGGCGAGAGGCGGCGGTGGAGCTCGTTGCTGAAGAGAATGTTACAGAGTTTGGCCCGATTGTACGCCAGCATGGACCAGTACTCCTTCTTCGGGGGAGACAGCAGCGAGAGGTCCACCTTACCACATGAGTCAAAAAGGTCTGTGAACCTGAAACAAAGTCCATATCAAAAGTAGTTATACCATGAGTGTGTGTCTGTGTGTGTCTGTGTGTGTATTTGTGCATGAATGCGTGCGCTTTTCTACCAGCAGATGTGTGTTGGTGGCTGCATACAAATCAAACACATGACATGATGTTCTTTAATTGCCTGCGACAGAGCTGTTAAACTCCAGATGTTTGACAAGGCCCCTTAAACATTACACTACTCGTTGTGTTATTATGCAGTCACAAAATAACATTGCAATACACAAAACCTACACCCCCTGTGTATTGTGTGTGTGTGAAGAGGGAAGACGAAAGGCTCCAAACTGGTGGAACACATCCTACATATTAATCCAGTCATTAGAAAACAACCAATCAAAATGTCACCTGCTTTCCTTGTTGTGATTTTACAAGCTCGCTGCCTCTTGTTTACTGTCGCCTTCCGCAACATCCTTGCTTGGCTAAATTACAACATCTGCAGGCTTTTCATTTCATGTGCTGCAACTTCATAACTACTTCAGCAAGTAGAAATTGATATGTGGGTTGTTGTTGTTTTTCAAAGTTGCTCACGTTATAGTGAAGTTAAAGTTGAATGAGGTTTTACAGTGATTTTACCATCAATAAATTACTCTGTCTGGTGAACCACATACATTTGCATAATAAAAGACTTTGGGTAAAAGAATTATCTCACTTGAGCATAAAAGTACAGAGCAGAAGTTGCAGCTCAGATCTATCAGAGGTCATTTCATTTAGGATATTATTCCACCTTGTTTTCAGCAGATCTGATGCAGCCCCGGGCCAAAGTCAACCTGCATTGGGCCAATTTCACAATAAGCCTCTATGGTGGAAACTGATAAAGTGTCCGGACATTACCCGTGTGTCCATCTCTCCCACCTCTGTCCCTTATTGGTCAATACTTTACCAGCGGACAAGGAGCTTAGGGAATACAATAAGCTGCCAGGTCAGGGGTCACACACACTTGTGAGGGGAGGCTATAAGTGAATAAACGAGAAATCAGCGGATACTGAAAATAACACAAACACAAATGGGAGCGACTTCAAAAGATGTAATATAGGTCTGGAATGAGGTGGACAGAATGAAAGATGTAATATGAGATATTGTCTATTTCCGCTCCTTCTTCCGCCGCCTCTAGTCTGTGTCAGTGTGTAACCGACTCTCTCTGGTCTTACCTAAGCCCTCTTTGAAGGGGTTAAAGCCAAGGCAGCTGGCAGAGGAGAGAGGGAAAGGTGAGTGCAATATGTCAGGGAGGTGGAAGAGGAGAGAGGGAAGAGTGAAGAGAATACCTGACCATTCCTGGCCATGCATTATGAATAAATGCTGCACGTTTTGCCCATTCGAACAGCAGCCTGACAGTTTTTACAACGTCAAAACTTCATGTGAACTCCCTGTTCTTACTGTGTAGGCAAGTCTTGCATCAATCAAATTCTGCCAATACTCACTGCATGACATGATTTCTTTCAATAAGCTTTTCCTTCTCCCTCTTCCTCTTGCTTTTCTTACAGCATGTAATAGCTGTGTGACCCCAAGTGGATCTGGGTGTCAAACCATCCCCTTTGCTGCTCCTGTCCTCTCATGCATGGCAGTCTGTAAAACATAACTCATATGAGGGCCCCTGTAACAGTGTTGCTGTTTGATCTGCTAGAATAACTCTGCGTATGTTCTCCTTGTCTCAGGTCACTCTGCAGAGCTCCAATCAATCACTCTGCTTGGTTGTCTGACTGAACCAAGCCAGGATCAATGTCGCACGCACACACTGACTCTGAAACACATGGCTCAGGGCCTGGGCTCACAGATCACTGCAAGACATCATGCCTGTCTACTGTATGACAGTTAAACCGGAGTCCATGGGGGAGAGTTGCTCAACGAAAAGATAGACTTGGAGAAACGAGAGATGGAAAGAAGAGAGGAAAGAGGGGGAAAAGGGGCTGAGTCAGAGGGTCACAGAGAAAGGAGCAGATACTTGATCAAAGTAAATATTAGCTGATAAGTCCATCCATCATGTTGATGATACGTTTAATTCATAGTGACAGCGTGCAGAGTGAAATGAGTTTTCAGTGAGTGAGGCTGTCATGTTTGACAATACGCATTAAGCCTGATCTATCAGTTTGTGGTGAGAACTAGCCAATGTAGCGGCTTCAACAGCGTGACTGGAGTTGAAGAGTTGTTCGATTGGACGTGGTAATTTCAGGAGAATACCGCTTAAACTCCATCGGTGTGACTTTAATATGACTTAACTGTGAATGGCAACTGTGCGATACGTTTACCTGTTATCATACTCACACAAACACACACACACCCTGTTGGCTGTATATTAAAGCAGTACAGATATAAAATTAAATTTTCTGGAAAATTGAAGATGCAAGAATAGTGTGGTGCTGTAGATCAACTTAACAAAATA